AGTGAAACATGACAAAATAATGCAAAACAGTTTCTTTGATGGAATCAAATCAATGCTAGGAAAATGAGGAAGGCAGTTTTTATCATAAAAAGCATTACATCCCCCTTACAAGGCCATTTTTACTCAAATTTACCTGAAAATCTGCAAACTCTATGTCCTTCCTCGGCCAACACAAAAACTGACTTAGAGAGTTTATTGAGAATAAAACAGAATCCCAGTGCATTTCATCAACAAATTTTGTGCATCAAATCCAAAGCAATTTTCCGTACTTATCAGTGCCAGAAGCATCTCCACAAAATGTCTGTTTAATTAAAAGTTACTTGAATTCCTGATTTAAAATTTTGAAAAATGAAAATGAAATATTCGAATTAACGCTTCATTGAATTTGCAATTTTATTTGCGTGCCATTGGCTGATTAAACAATAGTTTAATCAGACAACAACAAAAGTTATTGCGTGATCCGCCATTAATCGCCTTCGCAGGTGTTGCAATACTTTTGTCCTGGTAGACTGGTAGTGTACATAGAGTCCTGTCGCCATGAGTTAGTGCATTATTAGCAAATACGTGTTATCTTGTTTGAACAAAGGTTTTGAAAGGGACAGTTTCAAGCCTTCGTAACTAACGATCGCGGAAAAATTTTTGCTGCGTATAACGGCGTAAATTCATCAAAAATTCAATTTCTAAAAGAAAATTTAGGTTATCTTTCAGCACATTTTACACCATTATTTTTTGTGGGTAGTGGTAAAAACGTCCAAAATTGGCCTAAATTTTGCTGCAAGGCACGTTTGTTGTCATATTTTTTAATTCTGATTGGCTAATTGGGTATGCAGAATTTTGGTCGCTCAGCCAATCAAAGATTTGGAACCTATGCTAGGGGAGTGTATGAAAATCTCAGCCTCACGAAACGCGATTTTTATGATGGTATTCATTTGCGGTATGCATGGGACTCACCCCAATAGAAACTGAGAGCATTAAAACTTTATGCACCCGCAAGGACATAACCATCAAACCCGCGGACAAAGGAGGAGCCATTGTCTTATGGTCTATAGAGGCTTACCTTAAGGAAGCTAACAATCAGCTGTCCAACCCCCTCCACTACCGTAAACTAGAATCTGATGGAATACAGCTGCTATCCACCCAGATCACAACGTTCTTAACACATCTACTAGGTCGGAATCTTCTCACACAACAATGTTATGAGTTCCTTGAACCAAGCCCCCACCCCCGCACCCCCGAATTCTACCTTTTACCAAAAATACACAAACCAAAGATTAACGACCTCATACCGGGCAGACCAATAATCTCGGGGTGTGGCTCACCCACTGAGAAACTCTCCAAATTTCTGGACCATTTTTTAAAACCGATTGTTAAAACTATACCCTCATACATCAAGGACACCAATCATTTTCTCCAAATTATATTTAGAGAGAGACATAATTCTCCACCAGGTATCATCCTGTGTACCCTGGATGTTAAATCCCTCTATACTAATATACCACAGGATGAGGGTATTCTACACTGCATGATGGCGTTAATTGATTTTTATGCCACTGGACTACCTCTACCAGCCACACACCTACAACAAATGTTTGAGTTTATATTAAAAGGGAATTATTTCTCCTTCAATGGACAGCCATATCTACAGACACATGGCACTGCCATGGGTACCCCTTTTGCCCCAAACTTTGCAAACATTTTTATGTCTGTTATTGAACAATATATCCTCTCCACAGCCCCCGAGGGGAAGAAACCTCTACTCTGGAAACGATTTATCGATGATATATTCATGATATGGCAATATGATGAAGCTTCCCTCGCTGAATTCCTTGCCCATACCAACAATGTGCACAACACGATTAAATTTGAAGCACAACAATCTAGAGCAAAAATAAATTTCCTTGTCACCACAATTTATCTTAATAACAACAGTGGTCTCCTGGAAAGCACCCTATTCGTGAAACCCACTGATATATGCACCCTTTTACATGCTAAATCGTTCCACCCACCTTCGTGTAAAAAAAGTGTTATTTACAGCCAAGCACTTCGCTTCAGACGTTTGATCACAGACAACAATGAACTCCACAAACACCTCAAAGAACTCCAAAAAAACCTAATCATAAGAGGTTATGAATCTCAAGATATCACCACCGAATTTAGTAAACTGACATATGTCACCCAATACGAGCTCCTCTTCCCAGGAAACCCCGCCAACAATGAAACCACCCCTCAGCACCTCAACTTCGAGCCCCCTCCACCAAAACCACAAGTCCTACCTTTTGTTGTCCCATTCGACATAAAAACTATAAATATAGGTTCCGTCCTTACTAATTATTGGCACTTGATCTCAGCTGATTCTTATCTTAAACAAATATGGAATGACACCAGACCGGTTCTAGCCCTCACCAGAAGGCCTAACCTCAAGGATCGATTGGTACACTCTAAAATAGGCCATCAATACAAAGCCGCTTCTCGAAGCATCATGCGCCCTTAAAATTTACAATATGTAAATATTACACTAGAGGCACAGTTACACCGAAGGTACGGCACTCACTGATTATTAATTTTCATTTTTATTTGCGTATATATTTATTTTGCAACCGTGATCCTGGACGCAGGATTGCGAGGGGCGCCCACGAGAAACGGACATACCGAATAAAAGCCCCGAAATGTCCCTCGTGGGTTTCTGGCTGATGAGTTGCTTTTTTATCATTTTCTGCCCACTTACAAGCTAATTGTTTTAAACATATATGGGCACACACAACCACCCCCCATCGGAGTTTGAGGCTGTGACCAGGTGGTAGTGACTACTCCTTATCTCCTTTTTTCTCATTTTTCTATTTTGGATTTTATACTTTTATTCACATATTGGTCTTTTAGTTTTTACCTTCTATACCTATAAAAACAATCTTCTTTCAGAATGTGTTTGTAAGGCAAAGTTTAATGTCGATCATGCTCTTTCATGCAAGATTGGGAGCTTTGTCACACTCCGTCATAATGAAATGAGGGATCTCACTGTTGATTTGTTGTCAACTGTATGCAATGATGCGTACAAGGAACCTTGTTTACAACAATCTGAGAACGGGGTAGAATTGGGTGCTGATACAAGTGCAAGAGGTTTTTGGCAACGTATGCAAAGAGCATTTGTGGATATGAGGGTATTTTACACCTTCGCTCCTAGCTATCGCTGTCAAACTTTAGCTGCAACCTTCAGATCTATGAAGCTGGCGAAAAAGAGAAAATACAACCAGGTTGTTATGAATCAAGAAAACGGAACTTTTACCCCTTTGATTTTCTCATGCAATGGTGGTATGAGCATTGAAACGAGGAAGTTTTTCCAACGTGTATCGGAACTAATTGCTGAAAAACATCACCAAAATGTTAGTGAAACCTCTGCTTGGATCAAAAGAAAGCTGAGTTTTTGCTTACTTAGAACTGCAGTAATTTGTATAAGAGGTCCTAGGTCCCGACAACATGTTGTCCCTATTGGTGAAATGGGTGACATTGACACTAGAAACAATTTATCTAGCATCATTAATTAAACAATCATGTTTGTGACTTAATTGTATGTTCATTTAATTTTGTAAACCGGCAGCCTATCGGTATATAAACAGTGATGAATTCACAAATGTTTAAAAAAAATGTCATCAAAAAAAGAATGCTAGGGGATTGTACATCATCCCCAGGGGCGTAACTTGACCAATAGGTTTGGGGGGGTGAAAAGGATTTCTGCCCTACGAAAATGAGTGGTGCCCTGCAGACCTCGTAGCAAAGGTTTGTCTATAGGCTACTAGTGAAAGCTTTACCAGTGTAAATTAGTCTTTATCAAGAACAAACTCCTAAGCAATAAAAAAAACTTGAAACTTCATTGCCTATGAAATATCTTTTTTTACGTGAGCGTAAATTAAATGTCAAATTTGATTTTCATTTGTAATAAAGCTTGTATTTCATGACATATCAAGTTTAGTGAGGTAGAAGGACCCACCATGGTTGGGTCCGACGTGAAGAAAATTTTTGAAATTATACCTTGTAAAAGGGCTAAAAAGCATCTCCCAGACTAAAATTTAGCAAAATACTAAACTGCAAAAAAACTGATAATTGTTTATTTGAAAAATAGGGAGGGGGATGTCATGCTAAAACGCTAGCGATAGATGTTGGGGAAGGAAAGAAACGGTAACCTTTCGCTTCAGACTGCACATAGTTGTGAATGACAGAGCAATGTTGTTTTGATTGGGAGAATTTTATTTCCTTAACAGAAATGTGCAGTTTCTTATCTCGAGAGGGCCATGTTTACACTTCCAAAATAAAAACACTGCAATGATACAGAAACTGATTTACTGAATTAATGCAAATAAAATAAAAATAATAGAAATACATGAATAAGTTAGCAATTAGATCAAATAAAATCGGCATCTTAACAGTTTATTCTCTTTTTATTTAACACTCTGTTAAAAAGTTATAGAAAGAAGGATAAAAAATTCTTATCTAGACCAAAGTGAGGGCCTTCAGCCCTCTATTCCCCCAGCGCCGTACCTGTCATGAAAATAATACTTAAATTAATTTGTGTGGACTCAACCTTGCCCTCATAAACTTATGCATCAATCAACTGCCATCTCCATTGGCTATGATTTTCGGTAAGGAATGCTTTCGCTCTGCTAATAACGGAGCTCTTCCTGACATAACTGTTCCGTTCTCTAAAAGGCAATGTCAGGAAGGGAGGTTCATAACAAATATAATACTTCCATTTCAAAATTCGTAAACGGCCCTTTACGAACTTCAGAGATGGCGTTTCTGCGTGGCAATAAAGCTCTTCTTGGCGCCCTGCGAAATCTTCGATTGCCCTGCGAAATCGGCTGATTTTAAGATTGGGGGGTGTCACACCCCCCCACACCCCCCCGGTATTTTCGCCCCTGATCATCCCTCATTTCTCGCAATTTGATTGGCTTGATTTGACGGGAAGTTTAACCGTTTGGAAATGCCGCGGGAATGACCATAGATCATTTGGATTTCCCCTTGGCCTAAGGATGAATCATTGGCAAAAATGTAGCATTGAAGAACTAGAAGCCTGTTTCTTAGCCAATGGCAGTTGTCAACGTTCGAAATTTTGATCCAAAGACGTATAACTACTTTCGAGACTTTGAATTTGAAGAACAACTCAGCGAATCGTTGAAATGTCCAATTTGTATGAAGCTTCTGATCGCGCCACTGCAACTCGAATGTGGCCACAGGTGAGAACTAATCCATTTTCCCATGATCAGGCGTTTTCCCTTTTTCTTGCGCTCATCTAATTGCCAATTATTATGTAAAGTAAATAGTAAATTTGCATAAAATTCCAGCGAAAGTGTGACGTCATAGAAAAGCTTTTTTAGAATTTGGACAAAAACCTGGCCTGGCGATACCTCTTAAGGGGTGGGCAATCAATTTTTTCAAGGGGGCGGCCACATGAGAAACCTGAACTATCTTGGGGGGCCGTATCAGCGTAAATTTCTTTATAATTATATGAAATTATGGTGTAGGGCAAGTGTGAAAATAGTCTTAAAAAACTAAATGAAAAATGCTCTTGCTATAGCTATTACTAACAAACTAGTGCACTTCACTTATTATCTTTATTTTGACCTTATTGTAAACATTCTTTGAAATTGTCCATTGTAGAATATGTACACCTTGTTTTGAAAACCTTGCCAATGGCCCACGCCCTGATGTGAAGTTATGCCCTAAAGACTTGGAGGAAATAGCTTTCTTTTTTCAAGACAGATCTGCATTACGTCAAATAATAGAATTGAAAGTTTTCTGCCCTTTTAAAAAGCAAGGCTGTAATTGGGTAGGCATGATAATCGATTTCATTGTCCACAAGGAAAGAGATTGTATGTTTGCTGGTGACTGGGAGACATGTGAATTCTCTATTATTGGTTGCAACAGGAAAGGATCCAAAGAAGAAATTTATTTGCATTATAAAAAAGACTGTGCAATTCACTTGAAGTATTTTGCAAAGGTATTAAAAAAACTGCATTTGGTCAATGTACAGGCTAGCTCATTTGAAGAAGGCATTTTATTTACCAACAAAGAGTGCCAAAAGAAGATTGAAGAAGACAGTGATAGTATTCTAGCAATTGCAACATCTTTGGAAGGGCTAGACCATGCATTGAAAAAAGTATGGTTGCAAGTAAATGCTGTTATGACAGAGCAAAAAAAAATTGAAGATAAATCTTGTTTGATGCAAAAAGATATGAACCTTGACACAATGTTAATTGTTATCAAAGAATTATGGAAAAATTTTGATGCACTAAAGTTGAATATAGGCCATGTAGAGACTGGATTAGATGAGAAGTTAGTTAGCCAATTAAAAATTTATCCAAATTCTATTTCACCTCACAACAGTGTGGGAAAATTAAAAAACCTTGAAAAGGAAAGAAAAACACGAAGGGAAAATCTAGCAGATACAGATTTGAGGATTCGTCTATATCAGGCAACAACTTATGATGGCAAATATGTATGGAAAATTGACAATTATATTCGTCGAATGAAGGAAGCGAAAGAAAAGAAAATAATTGAGCTATTTTCACCTCCATTATTTAGTGACAATTTTGGGTACCGGGTTTCTTGTAAGATTTACCTCAATGGAAAACCTTCTGAAGACGGCTATGGCACCCATGTTGCTTTCTACATGGTTTTAATGAAAGGAGAATTTGATGCTTTGCTTCGATTTCCATTCCCAAGAATTTTGCATGCTACCTTGCTTGCCAAAGATCAGAACTACAACATAGAAAAGGTAATTGAACCTACAAATACTGAGCCCTTCCAAATGCCAAAACAGGAAATGAACACTCCTGTTGGATATAACATGTTTGTCTCTCATGTTGAATTGGCAACCAGTCAATACCTGTGGGATGATGCACTCTTCTTCAAAATTGATTTTTCACACAAATCACCATCCTTCTCATATTATTCCTGAGTATCATTTGTTGATTTGAATTTGTTGTCAAAGATGATGTAGCATTTTTTTCTATTCTGTGGTCATCAATTACATTTCTTAATGCCTGGTCAAACACTTCAAGCAATTCACCAAAAATCTATTTTTAGTATGCTGATGACACTTGCATGGAGCTCTTGTCATTTTTCTGCATCCATCTCTTAAATTCTCACTTGAAAAGGAGCAAATAACTCCCTGAGTTTCCTTGATGTTTCTGTGCACAAAGAAAGAAATTGATGTCTTACCAGTGTATATAGGAAACCAACATTTTCTGGTCAATACATTGGTTGGAATTCCTCTAGTCCAAAAGAGAAAACCTAGCACACAGGGTACCGATGAGTTGTTTCAAAACTAAGTTTGGTCCTGAGCTTGACAAAATCAAAGAAATTCTTTTGGAAAAATGGCTTTCCAGAAGATGTTATCTCTTGGGAGATATTTGTTAAATAGGGAAAAAATGCTAATATCTCGGCTATTGCTAATATTGGAAAAATTGCTAATATTTTTGTACCGATGTGAAGCTCAGTATGTAGGACACACTAGTCAGCCATTGGTCGATAGGATAAAACAACATATTCCCGCTAGCATCAGGCAAAAAAAACGGTCGATATACTCAATAATCCAGAGTGCCGAAACATATAGTGACGACAATTTCAAAATCGTTGGACAGGCAAAGTCATCTTTTTAATTAAGACTTTTGGAATCAAAACAAAGGATCCCAACCTGGGTAGTCAGAAAGATTTCGTTTTCTCTTTTGGACTCTTCAACTAAGCGAGAGGTAAGCGGGCGCTGATTGGTTAAAAGAAGATGACCAATCAAGCGCGTCCGTCCTTTCACGTTTTTTCGATCCATCGGGGGGATACCTTAACATGTTTGAAGGTAGCGGGACGTGCCATTATTTAGGGTGACTTTTTTCTGGAAAATTGCGGAATTATAGGTATCAGTTTTTGAAATATGTGCGGAAATGTGGGTACAATTTGTTGTTGTTGGAAATTTATTTTAATTCGACATAAAAAACAATATCTAACAATATATACACATATATACAATATTAACTAATCAAAATCGAACATAGCTACCAATTATTACATTGAATTAGTTATAGATACTAGGTGAAAGTTTCTTAAAACTTTTCAAATTTTCTGCGGATTTCAGTTCGTTGGGTAGGCCGTTTAAAATCTGTGGCCCGATTGAGATAAGACTTTTGGATCCAAATGTTGTTTGATTAGGTCTAACATGGGCTAAGTTATTTGGATTTCTTAATCAATAATTTGACGAACGTAATTTAAAAATACTCTGCATAAAAGGTGGGTTTAGCTGTTTTACTGCTTTGAATATTTCAATACATAGAATTCTTCGACGAGCGACGAGCATCGTGCATTTGTCTGCCATCAAAAGCAGGTCGTTATACGAACTTGTATGATCATTAAAGAGAAATCTTAGGGCACGTTCTTGTATCTGTTCAAAGCATTAAGCATTAAGTATGAAATGTTTCAGGGTTTGCAATCATTTCATTTCGTTCTAACCATGATAAGGCAACCCCCGTTTCTTTTTGCAAAGTATCTACAACATCGGGCATACTTTTAGAAAAATAAGCTAATGTATTGCCGTCTGCATAATTGTAGAGCGTTGCTTGTATTGTGAAATAGAAATAAGTCGTTTATGTAAAAATTGAGCAGGACTGGTCCTAGCACAGAGCCCTGGGGTACACCAAACATAACCTCTTGAATAGATCCGAACACACTGTTTTCGTCTTTTGAGATAAGAATAAATTAGAACTCGAGCATCTTCATTAAATCCATACGCATGTAGTTTGGCGATTAGCAAATTATGTGGAATACAACTGAAAACTTACGAAAGATCCATTAAAACTGCACCAATGAGATAGTCTTACAGTCTTCTATTAAATGTATTAAAACATGTTGGGTTGCATACGTTTGTCGATACGCGGCAATGAAGAGTGAAAGCGTGTAATCTAAATGTTGAACCAATTGATTTTTTAATGAAAAGGTATTAAGAACATTAACTGGGCGGGAGTTTCTTTCTAATGTACGATTTGATTCCCCTTTTATCTAGTGGGCAAAGTGCCGCTTTTTTGCATCGTTTGGGAAACGGAAATTTTGAATGCCACAGTTTATTGCCGTAGTTAGAGTATTTGGAAGTTCATTTGCAGCTAGGGATACAAGCTTCGTGGGAATTTGATCTTCACCAGTAGGCTTCCTGCCATCCAAGGATTTTAATAGTTTTGCATCTTCATGACTGCCTGTCTTTTGAAAAGTGAAAGCAGCCAGGACTTGCTCTGGGCTTTGAATAATAGCTAGGGCACTAGGGTGGTTTATATACCTATCAAAAATCAAGCGAACAATTTGGCGGTCGTCACAAATTCTAGTATTTTTCGCAAGGCTAATGGGTTTCTTACCGCTGGATTTCTCTACTATATTTATAAAATGATCATTTAAAGTTTCTGCCAGTTCTTGGTCATCTGTTAATCCTCAAATTTGAAGGAAAGAGTTACCAAAATCCCAGAATTCTTATTTGAAATAGTTCCATTTCTAGTTGCTTCCTTAAAAATTTTTTTAATTGCCTTTTATCTAAAAGAGACACATTTATTTCATTGCGTCTTGAAATTAATTTTATTTTCTACGGCAGGGTTCTTATTTAATCTTTCTTTAGCCTTGATATAGTATAAATTGCCTTTGGCAATTGCTGATTCATGAAAGGGGAAGTATTTCTCCTTTGAACATTTATTGAACCATCTGAGCAGTTGGTTTAAAAATTTATTTTTTATCATTAAAATACTGTTTAAAGGTCCAAAATTCTCGAAAAAGTGTCCGGAGAAAGTGTCCGAAACAAAAAAGCCACGATCTTCAACAACGCCTCTGGAATCGAACGAAGTCAAGTCATTTCGTCCAAAAGTCAATGTTTTCGAGTTTCGACATGTCTGAGTTTTCTCCCAGACCATAGCATCTAAAGTAACGAATTTAACTGTCATGAGGCACCTACAGAATACATACTTTCTAAAAATATTTTTGTGCTAGGGATGTTAGAACTGCAAGAAAACATCACTGGTTCAATTCTTGATTTTTTGTTAAAAGCTAACATTTTTCTTGCTGGTTGTTATTTTATAAAAATTTAAACCAAAGACAAAAGTAGATTTCGGACCATCGAAGCTTTGGACAAACTTTTTTCCGGATGTCAGATCGTCAAACGTTTTTGTGCACATTCTTCGTTTTTGAATTTTGATTATTACAAGAGGCAGTTAGTTAGCTTTGGAATACCTCATGTTTCATGTCTGACTCCATCTTTTTATTATCGCTGTTAACGTCCTTTCTAGTGGCTTGAGATACCCTCATCTTATAGGGGACTTTTATCTAAATTTGGGTACAGGCCCGTAGCCAAGGGGTGGCATGGAGAGGCAATGCCAGATTGCCGGCTGTTTGCCATTCCCGAGAATTTTGTTTTGTCTCTACATTTTTAATTGAGTTTTTTTCGTTGTCATTGGATTGCCGTGACAATTTGATTCAAGCTAATGCTGGTGGAAGGAAAGATTCTTATGGGTGTCTCTTATTACTCATGTAGAACTTCAGATTATGCCTGGCGCTCAAAAAAACTTTCGCTGCCAAGCAAAAACTTCACAGTGGTCAGGGCATTTCGAAATCACAAGCTATGTGAACAAGAAGTTTTGTGGACAATATTCTATAATATAGACACCCAATGGAATAATCTTTTGTCAGCAACATTCAGGGAAGAAGGGCTTTTGTTCCCAAACACTTAAATGATTTGTCAGAACTGGCAGCGATATTATCAGTGTCAGTTTTTGTTTCCACTCACTCTAGCCACCGCACTCCCCCCAAACCCTTACAAAAACCTTCACTTTAAACTTCACCTGCATTGAACACGGGGAGTTTGCCACCCCTACTCCACACGCCTGGCTACGAGATTGCTTGGGTACAATAGTTACAAAGCCTTGTAACTGATTAATGATGGAATTCCCTTTATTTATCGAAACTCGCTTATAATGGAAACTTCTCATTTTGAATTCCAGTTAAAACTACAATTACAAATCTCTCTATTACAGAAGTAGTTTGTAACTTGCTAGCTTGTTTTCCTAATATAAAACTAGGACCATCGTAGAAATAAAAAATTTAAAACTCTTAAAAGTTGAAAAGTAGTAGCTCTGGGTTAGTCCAGGTTTTGTTCCTACAGCAGAATTTGTAATATGTGGTGCGAATGGAGATGCCTGAAAGTTTGGAGATTCGATAGCATTTCTGTTTCTCGTAAATAGAAAGAGAGTCCCACATGTCGATGAAACTGCTGCAGGAGTTGCCAAAGATATTGACAAACGAGACTGACTAAGACTGACGTTTTAAGTTAGATATGAGGGTAGAATATTTCTATGACTTTCTGTTTGCATTGCAGTTGAGATTTGTTTCAAAGCCTATGTATAGTTAGTTAGCTCTAAAACGTACATACAGTTTTTCTTGGTTTTGAGAAGTAATTCTGGGCGTAGTTGGTTGCCAGATAATAACAACAATAATTCAATAGTAGCAATCTAGAAAGGCATCAAAAGTCACATTGACTAGATTCCAGGGAACGTCAACATTACAGAACTTGTTGACACCATTGCCCCAAAATGAACTGCGAACTTGAAATAAAGATGCTGCTTTAGGGTAGGCCTATGCCTTAACGAAAATCATGGGGTATAGCATATGGAAAAGTGATAAAACATATTGGTTACGACTAATCTTGTGATATGGGACTCCACGCCACCTAAAAAGAGTGGACAAGAAATCTCGCGATAGATATGAAATAGCCAGGCGAAGTATGCACCCATGCCTTCTTAGAATTACAAATCTCCCAAAACAGCAACTTCTTTAACTTTTTTCATTAATTCAGTTTGAAATTTCAAATCCAATGACTTCTTTAACAAAGTTAGAAACATCAAAATATAATTTTAATATCTTCAAAAGTATAATATTTTAATATCAAGAATACAGTGCTAGTCAAATTGGACTACTTTAAATAACGAATTTGAAAAA